TCCCTCCCTCCCTCCCTCCCTCCCTCCTGCCTTCCTTCCTTGCTTCCTTCCTTTCCTAGCTCCTATTGTATATTTTTCGTTTAATTTCTTTTTGATCCTGATTTATTTTTTTTTTGATCCTGATTTAATTTTTTTTTGATCCTGATTTAATTTTTTTTAAACCCCTATCCCCTGCACGCAGGACCTGCAGGATATCGCTTGAAGAAATTCGATCACGAGACTCCGAGGCACAGCTGGATTACTTCGACTCGTGTACAACCGAGCTGTCCGTAGCCCGAGAATTGAAGCGCGTGTCGTTGATTCATGTTAGCTTTGCTGTGCCAGACTCATATCGAAAGCTGGTGCTTGGGATGAAAATGGCTGGCTTCTGAGGATGACGAAGATGCTGACGGCACAGGTCATGTGATCATGATGAATGACAATTCCAAGTCTGATCTTGTCGAAGGATCAGAAGGCCCGGAAGGAAGCGAGCTCTGGGGTCTGGTTGAACCTGCTGCACCGAGCAAGCGAAGTGCACCTCGACCACACTTGGGACGAAAAGTCAGAAGGAACACTACAAAACAAAAAGGTCCAGTTGGATACGTGTGGTACCATAATAATCCGAAGCTCTGGTGTGAAGGTGAGCCCGTTTGAACTAGAACATCTCCAAACGCACTATGCGACGTGTCTGTTTCCTCAAGATCCTCTTCCTCGAGTGCACTTGATGTCGCTGCTCGTTCAAGTTTGGGGATGTTCAGAGTAAGCATCGACGGTCAACCATCACAGGAAAGGCTCGACTTGATGGCCACGGAGTATTGCTACAAGTACGAGTGCAACAGACATATGGCTGGTGTTCTCTCCGCCTTCTTTGCCTGGGTTAGCCCTTGCTTGAGGTGCATTTCGATTTCGAGTCATTGCGCTGCTTCTGCAACCACGACAGTATCGGAAGCGTCGCCTGAGCAGCAGCACAGCTTTTCGCATTTCATGTCGACGTCAGACCAAGATGGCGCAACTACAGTGGGGTCCATGCGTTAGCAACGTCATGAGCAGGTCGATGCTTTTTCGACTGAACTTGCAACTCTGTGACACTCTCCTTTCGGGGAGCGCTTTTCAGCGCTCGCTTCAAGCGACACGCGCACGTTAAATCCCGTCCCAGGCACAGCACGTGAGCAGCGAATAAAGAGCTGGACACTGCTGGCACCGGGACATCGCTTGAGGCAGGAACCCGTATGCTACGGGCTGCCACGAATAATGATTCAGGCGGCTCCTCCTTTGCACTCCGGATCCTTTCTGCTGGGTGTTTTTTCCGGAGACGAGCTTGCCCACAGAAAATTTCCACATCCTACGATTGAGTAGGCAACATTACGGCTGAGAGATGGCCAATCGTTCAAAGAATGTGTCTCGCTGCCAATTTGAGCATGGGGGAGGTCCACTGGTCAGCTTGCAACGAAGCTCGAAAGTAACTATTGCCGATCAAGACTGCTTTTCGACACGAGCACTAACCGTCACTAACACCAAACTGCAGCTTGCGGATATCAGTTCTATGCAAGGAGCCACACAGATTTGTGAAACATGTCCAGCTTCGCCTCTTGAGGTCAGGTTGCCCCGTTTAACGCTTACAGCCACTCGTCTGATTTGCACCGTGCTCTCACCGCTCGTGTGGGGGGAGGGTAGGGTTGGAGCATTTGGCTGCACGGATCCCGCAACATGCCGCAACGCTTTCACATGCCTCTGAGCCATGGCGGGCACGAGCTCCGCAGCTTCTTCTACCCCTCTCAGAAATACATGGGCTGCTCAGGCTTTCAAGCAATGCGGACAGTCCGGACAGCATTCTCCGCCTTCTCTGCCCTGGCAGTGTCGACTGACACAAAGCAACCGCTGCAAACAGCATCATCAGCATAGGGGCAAAGCCACACAGCAACCGCTGTACATAAGAAAGAAGCACAACCACACAGCAAGCGCTGTAAACAGGATAGGGGCAAAGCCACTGGAGTGAATCGAACACTGCAGCGTTGTTAAGCTTGTCTCAATTTGTTGAAACCGGCTTCGATCTAATGCGTACGGCTGCTGAAGCACCAGCGCTTTGAAAGCAAGAACAGACAAACATCCACGTGAGATCCTCAAGTGAAAACCTCGCCGGTGGGACGTCGACCTCGAGCCGACCTGCTGACATCTGGGACGGGGGCTGTGATGGCTGTTTAGGGATAGTTGCAAGTTCTCGCCTTCGGCCTGGTCAGGTCCGCAGTAGACTTTTGCATCATCGTCTTCATGTCACGCACCTGCGGACTCGAAAGCCTAAGAACATGGCGACACGCTCTTGAGTGACTTCGGGCCGTTTGCATGTGAGCGTTTCGTTGTTCAGCAACAGTGGTGTCAACACAGTTGTGCTCCTGTTTTGCTCCGGGCACTCGTTATCAGGAAGAGCGCGATCGTCTAGAGTCTAGAGGGGTCGCTTGGAATGCTGTTTTTTCGTTGTACATAAGCAAGATTTGAAGCAGGTTTAGCAAAAACTCTGAGTTGATGTCACAAGCTTAGCAAAACATAAGCAAGTGAACAGTATTACTGTAGGAACATCGCACGGCAGGCATATATGAGACGAACACGAAATCCCCAGAAGCACAAGGACCCCAACCTTAAAAGACTTCACTGGATAGCGGAAACCTGTACGAAAAGACACGAAACCCATCGGAGAACCTTTGAACACGACATGTCAGACGTCCCAACAACGCTCAAATCTTCGATGCTTGGACCCTACAGGCCTGGGCCCTTCTTGGGGAACGGAACATGCTCATGCACAACGCACGACGAACCTCTTCTTAATCATCAATCTCATCGTCGTCATGGTCATCAACGTCATCATACCATACCATATGTCCATATCCGCACTGGACGTCATTATCCCCCCCACCCCAACCCTGCATCAAGTAAGTTCGAGGAAGAGGGCAAGACCAACAAACCGAAATGAGAAGTCCCACACACAGCAAAACCCCGAATGCTGCCAACCCGGGACACCTGCACTGAAAAATCCTGAAACCTTCGAAAGACACGGAGTCGCTGGAGAGCGTCATGCCAAGAACATGCTGGCAGGACATTCAGGCTGGCCAGCCGTTCTGATGGTGATACGGCGTCGTATTAAACAAACCCATCCCTCTCTATCTCTCTGGACACTATGACAGCACGCGTAACGGCCCCGATGTGGCCAGGGAGTATACGGATACTGTTCTCTTGCACTCTGGCACAGTGAACTCACAGTGAACAAAGTCTGCACCAGGCATTGCTGGCCTGAGTCATCGTGTAGCTGCTGGTGACGTCTGCTCCTAATTGGCACTGTCTAGAGGATGGCCGTGGTGCCACTGGCATGGCAACAGCAATGTAACAAAGCACAAACTCCGTGCTCCCCGCCATCCGAGTGACAGAGCTGGGCTTGAAGGCCACAGGAAGTTAAACAGATCGCCTTTGCTGTAAAACCTGCTGTCTATCCAGGTCATGCCCCGGACAGATGAATGCCGGTTGCTGCAGTGTGAGAGGGGCGGCGTCGCACAGATCGCACAGTCTGTGATTTCCGGAAGTGGCTTATCTTTAGCGGAAACACTAGCAGCTAGCAGCACTAGCAGTCCTCGCTTTTTCTCATCCTTGTCGAAGAAGCTGTTGCTACCACGCCTGAGTACATCAGCAGTTTAGGCTTCAGCCTGGCCTGAGCTTCTCAAGATCCGGGTCGTGGACTTCGCTTTGGATGCATCGGCCTTTCCTTCGAACCGCGGAGTTTGGCCCCAAGGGGTGAGCATTGCACGCAGTCGATCCGATGTGTCTGCCCTCCGTTCCAGCAGCTTACACCAATTGCTGCATTCAATCAGCAAGTCCTGCAGCTCCGCCTTCTCGTCCACTGCGACCCTCCGCAGCTCCTGAGACACGGAAGGGGAGCAAGGGGACCCAAAGTAAAAAATCGACCACCTGCAATGTCACCAGTCCCTGCGGTGCCTCTGGCGAGATTTGGCAGGCTGACAGATTCGCCGTCCTGGCAATTGAAGGCGGCAAGAAGTCACAGCTACCCGGTAAGCCTGGCCTTTCCCAGGCGCCGAGGCCCACCTTTCTGAAGACCTGCGACGACACCAGTACAGGCTCCAATGAGTCGCAGCAACAGGACGAGAAGTCCACCGATTCAAACAGCTATACTACAGATATAGGCGGTTACGTAGTCGCTTTGCGCGACAAACATAGGCATGGACTGAGGGGCAGCACGGACAATGTGGGTAAGGTCATGGAAGGGTCCCTTGCACCTTCAAGAGGATGTGCATGCCGACAGTGCTTCAACGGATGCAGTGTCTAGGAGACTCTCTTGCAATTCTTCAAAAGACTTACTCTGCTTATCGTGCCGCACTTCGGAAACACAAATTAAAACACGGACTTTGTCGTCTTGGTCAAGCTTGCAAGCTGCAGCCTCCACTTCCGAGAGCCAGGCCGGCCCCAGCAGCCTCGAAGAGGTCCGGTGCGCTGGTCTGGGCGAGGCGGTTCACGACCTCTCAGCGCGGCTAAGCACCGTATTATGGAACAGGATTCAAACCTGATCTTCTGGCCGGGAAGAAACAGAGCATGCCTTCGTGCGCCGCAACTTGTCCATCTGAAAGCCAACATACCTTGGCAATGTCGTATCACTGCCAGACTGCTTGCCACTGATGGTCTCTCAAAATCATCGTTTGGAGGCATTTCGAGCATGCACCGTCCAACTCTGAGAAATCGACTCGGCATCGTTCATCAAGCGCTCGCGGCGCATGCGCTCGTCAGCGCTGCCAACTGCGCAGGGCTGGGCGTCCAAGATGCAGAGTTCGCAATGCGATCCGCTGAAAAGGGGGGCGCACAATCCTCGTCCCAGCGAGCCCTTGGCTCACGAGCAGGCACTCAAATCGCACCAGCAGCTGAACACAGCACTGCGGCTGGAAGCCTTCACCCCAAGCAAGCCAAGAGCCCAACGCGTTACCAATGGTTTCCTTGGAGGGCTTCGCAGTGCGCCTGTACAAGCAAGCGTGCCGGGGAGTAGCTCACTTGGCAGGTCGAAATCGCGAAGCTTGAGCGTGCCCAAATCTAAGTAATGAAGCATCCTGAAGTCCACTCTGAATGCTTTGTGCGGAGCTGCTCGGCTCACAGATGCTTGCTTGGATGTGCATAGTATTACTACTTGCTGCTCGGATTCTGCAGGCCCTGGCCTCTTCGAGCCCTTCCGCTCGGTCGACGCGGTGCTTTCAGTGGTCTTGGAGTCGCTTTTTCCCGGATCCTGCACGCGGCCGATGTCGAAGGATTCTATGCCATTTCCGGTCCCCCACTCCTTCCCCACCAGATCCGGAAGGATATACTTCTCTTTGGTCTCTGCGTGAGCCTAGCAAACTTCGAAGACAGTTTGACCTGAGGATGTCTGACAATGTCGGCGTGTCTGTCTTTTGGATGAAAGGCTGCATCGTCTTCCATTGCAATTCGGACGACTGCTCTCGCAAGTGGTGTGGCCGTCTCGCCTGGCTAACCATACTTTGGGGACTGCGGGCAATTGCCGTGTTGTCAAGTCGAGTTGTGCAGGCGCCAACTTCCTCTCTGCACCCCCGACGTGCACCTCTCTGTGCGATGACTGCTTGGCCTTCACGACACAGCGAGAACTCTTTGGAGAGACATGCAAAGCATGTACTGAGTCTGCGACATTCTGCGACATGCAAAGCAATCCCACACAGTTGGGGCCAAGGCTTTCACGATGGTCATGAGGCTGCCTGTGCGAAAGGCCTTGGCGAACCAATAGCTGTGTCAATCAAGGCGACAGGACAGGGGTGGAGCCTCACCGAGCTTCCCAACCCGAATCAGAATCTGATTCCGCGTGCTGCCAGTACTGCCATGCATGATGAGGGATGGTCTCGGGTTCAGTTACTATACCCACATCCAGAAGTCTGAAATCAACAAGATAAGTAACAACCTGCATAATTAACTGGCAGGCTAGCCACAGTGTGCAAGGCTGCAGCATCCACCACCTCAGCTCTGGTGCAGGGAACATGGACCGAGTCCCAAACGCATGCTTTGGAATGATGCCACACAACTGGAACAAACGATGACGCAAGTAAATGTGCCTGGCCCCTCAGTCGCACCGACAGGCTCTGAGGCCCTGAGGCCCGTGCCAGCGGATCAAAAATCGACTCCCCGAGCTCCCCTTCTCCATCGCTGGAATCAGAAGAGTCGGAGTCTAATCGCTCTCCCAGGCCTGTGGACCAGGGCATGCGTCATGTTTGCACTCAGCGACTCTTAGGCTACCCGGCAACCTGATCGTAAAAAGAATGCAACTAAGACTACATCGCTTCCATCGCCACAAAGCACGAACAACTCTTTGCATGTGCAGCTCTTTGCCTGTCGAGAGTGAATTGGCCAAATCTTTGACGATAAGCCTCGGATGCGAGCGTTTCCTAAAGCAGACTAAACGGAGCAGGCGCTCGTACAAGCAGAGTGGCAACATTCCTGTTTCCCGTCCGCATTTCGCAATTGTGATCAAGCCCGGTTGATGCTTTGTACACGTCGGTCTTGGTAGACGGTCGAACCCGGCGGCCGGTTCGCTGACACCTTGCTAGATGCTCGTGCAGTCCCAGCATCGCCTGTGGTCCCATTCCGCCTACAAGGCTGAAGTGTGCCGTGCAAACACGGCCGGCTAGGGTGATTGGCCTCATGCTCTTTGCCGAAGTGACTGTCCTCCGGCATTGACTGGATTCATCGGCAAGCACTGTTTGCCCGTCAGGCTCCGTTTGAGCTGTTCCCGAAAGACTGGCAGAGATGCAGGACCGTAGAACTCGCAGGACTCCGTATCAGCTGCTTCCAGCTCGGTCGCTCAGGACTTCTGCTCTGATGGCTGGTCTCGAGTTGATGCTACTTATGTCTGACTGATGTCCGTCGTCACGATGGTGCTCACGCTTGGTTTTGACTGCCTTCCGACGCTTCCAACTATACCTCGATGACATCAGTATACAGTACACGTCCTACGCCTCCGCAGCCCCACGCCATGCAAGGAGGCCTGGGGGCCGGAAGCTGGAAAGGTCTCCGTCTAGGTTACTGCTGTCCGCGTCCTCTCCGGGAACGCAAGGAACCGTAAGACGTCGAAGCCTCCTCTTTGGTGCCGGAGCCTCCCTCCGTATCTTCCGGATCCCGAAACTTGAGAGACTGGTCATCAACAAGGCCACAAGGCGAACCCCTTCTTGGGACATATTGGGCTTTCGCTGGATTGAGCTGCCAGCACTGAGGACGACCTCCGCCTCCGCCGGCCGATGCCCTGCACCAGTGAAGGGATCTGAAGGGGTCTCTTTTTTGAAGCTGCCCCGCGTACTGCAGTACCCATGCAGTACCCCATACCCTGCTTGCCCTGCGCCTCTTGCCGCAGCTTTACCAGGTGCTGCATCCAAGCGCGAAAGGTCTTGGCGCAGCTGAGCTGATCAAGACTGTTTCGCAAAGAATGACCCTCCAACGGCCACGATCTCCCCAGATCTCAGCCATGAGCAGCCCCAGCAACTGCGCGAGCCCAGCTGTTGTACCGCAAGAAGCCCACTGGAGCCCTCGCGAGGAATGGGGGAGACTTCAGACCGAATTGAGAAGACACGATGTCTTCAGGTTACAGCTTCTTGCAGTGTTCCAGCTCTGGTTCAGGGCCTGCTGGCTGGAAGTTGAAATAGCGTCTGCTCAGACCTTCGCACAGTCGCAAACACCTCCTAGCACCTCCTAGCTTCATTCGTCAATGTTCGTCATGTCGGGATGCAACAAGGCGACCTGGCTGTGGTCGAGCTGGGCAACTGAGGCTCAAGCCCTCGCATTGCCATGTATCTGCCCATCTGTGTCCCAGCCTGTCTTCGCTGGCGCGTGCTGCCGGGTCCAGTGAGACGGGCTACGCGGCTAGGCCAACCTGCAACTCATGGGACTCCTCGATTAGCAAGCGGTTCCTGCGTGCCCAGGAGATGTCGAAGCGGAAAACCGAAACTGAAGCTACTTAAGTCTGAGTTGTGTCTCGCGCGAAGCCTGCTAGGACCTACCTGTGCGACTAGGTGCAGTCCTGGGCTGCTGGAGCAGGAATTGCAAAGCCTTTCAAACTCCAAGGTCTTGTACAAATGCACTTGATTGCACTTGCCACAGATTCGCCTCGGTTCCTCCAGCCCGCAGCCCGTAGGCCCGGCTCGAATGCAGCAATGCACACTGCACGTCAACACGGCCTCGATCGTGAGACTCCCCAGGCCCACGAGACTGACACTGGGCCTCGCCAGCACATCTCGGAATATCTCTAACTGCTTCCTGGCCTTGCCACGGAAACCCTAAAACGTGGAGAGAAAGACTGCCCACCTCTGTGTCTGACCTCGTTTCGACAAGGGCTCATCCTTTTTGAGCTGTCGCCGCTTGGACCTAGCAAACGCTCGTTCTCAGTACGTGCGTGGTCGCAGGAGTCGTAGGCTTCCCGCCTGCTTTCCTCACGCTTTGATATGGGCGACGTGTTGCGGGGGCTCTTGAGGTCGACGGCGTTCACCGGCCGCACCAGCTCATCTGCGAAACTGCTCGCTGCGTTGCTCAGATTTGCCAAGCATTTCCAGAGACCCAACCTAGGAGCCGTCCGTGTGCAAAGCCGTCTGCAGCCATGAGGCTGCAAGAGGCTGCATCTGCAAGCTGGCAGCGGCCGGAGCAAACTTCTATTGTAAGGCCAGCCTCTTATGCGCACAGACCTGCTTTTGGGATGTGGTTTCCGCTTAGCCGCCGTTAAGGTCCTGTGTCATGGCTTGTCGATGATGTCCCGCCTGGAGCCATGAAATTCGACATGAGAGGACTGGCGGTCAACATCAAGGACATGTGAGATTCCTGGCCGAGTAGCCTGTGACCTGAGTGGCCTCTGACCTGGACCTGCCTGACCTTGGGGTCACAGAAGCGCAAACTGGAAGCAAGGAAAAACCGTTTGTGGCTGAAAACCCTGCGTCCAGAAACAGAACGACCAGAGCTCCTGCAACGTGCCCAGGGCGGTCGGCCAGGTCAGGTTGTGAACTGGGCAGGGTGGCGCCTTCAAACAGCTACCAGTCCTTTTGCACGCGGATTCTCTCATCGCTTCAAGTTCAGCTGGACTCCCCTTTTCCGGGGCTTCGAATGGCACAATTGGCAGGGATCACAGATCTTCTGCTCTCAACCATCACCAAATGCCGACACGTGAGTTTCCGTCACGTCACTGGTTCAGCGAGCTCAGCCATCATCTTCGAGGAAAAAACACTTTGCGAGCTCATACCGCTGGATAGAGCTGCTTCCTGCGCAGGGGGGGGCACATGGTAACACATCCCGGGGCTCTGGCTTCCATAAGTATGTAGCGGATATGTGCCGGAAGCTTTTTTCTCCCGTCTGCTCGGCTGCATACACGACGTCATCCTCAAGCAACCTGAGCAAGCGGTGTGTAAGATTCAGCACAGGAAGGCAGCGACTGCAGTACAGCCCTTAACTACCCACAAGTAAATAGGTTGAACTGGATCGAACAGATAGCCGAAGTCGGTGGTCTGATGGCGGAAGCAAGATAGGCGGATGGCGCCCAGTTTTTCTTTGATGTCGATGCTAGCAATCGCCTCTGTAGCTGGGGCTTTTAGCAGACGGTTGTTTCAGCTAAACTTTATGCATTTGTGCAGCTGTTAATGCACACGTGCGGCCCCATCTTCTTCTCTAGGTTGGATGCGAAACTGTTTAAGCGTTTGGTGTCCACCGTGTGTACTCGTCCTTTGCCATCTTCCTGGCCGAATCTGGATGTGCGAACCGCGTGGAATTGCGTGAAGCTTTGTTGCAGCGGTGGTTGCGAGGCACGTGAGTAGGGTCTCACCTCAACTTGACCATGTTTCAGGCTGAATGTGGTCTAATTAGGCCTTGGCTGGGCCTTCTTCAGCAACACTTCAGCCCATGAAGCGGCGGGGTTTTTAAATCGCTGGCTGGGTCGGCAGCCTTTGTTGCCTGAGCTGTGCGCACTCTGCGGGCCACGTGGGAAGATCCTTTACTCGCAAAACTCGTGAAGGTTAGGTGCTGCCTCATCCTTCTCTCGTTGTCAGACTTGCGGACTCCGTGTTAGTGACCAGCTAAAAGGGGTAAAGCACTGGCTGCAGGCCCGTACAACTCTTGAGTGGGTTGGCCGTGGAGTCGACCCTAGCGATGAGCTGCTTGGTTTCGGTTGCTGTTACGGTCAAAAACTGGTGCACATGCCGTGGTACGTAACGTAGATTCACATGAACGAACGAAGGATCGCACATACATACAGACGTACGTACGTACATACATACGTAGGAAGGTAGGTAGGTAGGTAGGTAGGTAGGTAGGTAGGTAGGTAGGTAGGTAGGCAGGCAGGCAGGTAGGTAGGTAGGTAGGTAGCTAGCTAACTAGCTAGCTAGCTAGCTAGCTAGCTAGCTAGCTAGCTAGCTAAGCTAGGTAGCTAGGTAGCTAGGTA